CGGCGAAGGGTAGAAAGATTATGGGTAAGGGAATCATGCAAATGACTCCTAAAGTGAGGGAAGTCGGAGCTAGATCCGTAAGATGGGAAGCCAGGCCAACGCTACGGTCCCGATGCCTATGCGTATACCAAGGGAGAGCCCAACTCAGAGAAACCCGGCTAAAGGGAGACCATCATGCGACACAAGCAGGGTACTGTACAGGGTAGAGTGGTAAGAGAGTGCCGACGTCTGAAGTAGGCAGAGCTGATCGTGATGAAGTCCATGAAGCTGCCCATGACGTCCACGATGAGAAGTCCGGAATGCCGTCGAGAAAGAGTCGCAGCGTCGACAAGCTGAAGTAGCAAAACTGATGTGGATGGAGTACTGAGAAGACAAGGACGTGGGAACGTAAGTTAGAGTCAATCGTCGTATCGAGCAAGACGACGACGAGTGCGCTGTGGACGCTCAGAAGCATCTGGCTGCTGCTGAAGGTCTGCCTCAGATGAAGCAGGCTCAACTTCAGCGGTCTCCTCAGCCGGAGGAGAAGGAGGAGGGTCAGTGGGCTGAGGAGGAGCAGTGAACCCAGCATGACGAGCACGGTCATAGGCATGCACCAACATGTGAGCGTGCTGCAAGTGCTCGAGGGGCTCCCAGGTAGCCTCCTCATCAGGGTAACCCTTCCAACTTACGAGATACTCGACGTGGGGAGGGTTGTCGTCGGTGACTCGGCGACCAATGATGTCTGAAACGAGGAACTCCTCGTGGCCGTCCACCATGATGGGTGGAGGGCGCTCGTATGGTCGTCCAGCGAAACGCTCAGACGGTCTGCGGTAAGGACGCAGTAACGAGACGTGGTAGACATCATGCACACAAGCCTGGCGTAGGTAGTCAGGCAGCTTCACACGAAAGCTGACCGGGCTAGATGCCGTATCAGAACCGACGGCCTGGAGGATGCGGCATAGGCCAAAGAAGCGACGCTGAAACTTGAGAAGCGCGTCCGCTTCGAGCTGTAAGTGGCGGGCGTCGATAAGCACATCATCACCGACCTTGAATGGGTGATCCATCCTCGATCGGTTCGCACGTGCTGCCATGCGAGTCTGGGAAGCGGCTATGTGCTCATGTGCGGTCTTCATAATCGACGTCATGTGTGCAAGCCAATCATCCAGCGCGAGACAACTCGTGTCGGGGTGCATCTGGGACGGTCGAAGGAAGTCCGCGGGAACACGCGGGTGATAAGGCGACATCCCCGTGGCTGGCAAGACGGCGTGGTTGTAGGCTATCTCCGCGTGGGCAAGATGGAGATCCCACTGCTGGTCGTCACGAACAATCTTTCGGAGAATATCCCTGAGAGTCCTGTTCGTGATCTCGGTCTGACCATCAGTCTGAGGATGGTAAGACGAGGAGTAGCGGAGCTGAGTGCCGTATACCTCGTGGAGTCGTCGCTAGAATCGGCTGGTAAAGCGCGGGTCACGGTCAGATATGATGCTCAGAGGTAAGCCGTGGTCACGCACGACTCGGTCAAATACGATGTCGGCGACCTCACGTGCACTGATGGCATAGCGGCACGGAACAAAGCGTGCACGCTTCGTGAAGCGGTCGACGACGACCAGGATAGCATCATGACCATGGGGGGTCGGAGGTCGAAGAGGACCGATAAAGTCAATCGAGATGGACTGCCAACGACCCTCAGGGATAGGAAGAGGCTGGAGCAAACCATAAGGTAGGTGGTTCGCACTGTTCACCTTCTGACAGGTGGGACACTCTGCGACGTAGTCCTTCACAAAGTCCTTGCGCTTCGGCCAGACGTACAGGCGGCTCACACGAGCCAACGTCTTGTGGAAGCCCATATAACCGGCAGCTACCTGGTCATGGAACTCTGCTACTGCTCGGACACGTAGCTGTCCAGTGGAGGGAACGCAAATACGGGGCTCTCTGGTGCCCTGTGAACCGTGC